GTTACTGGGTCAGGTTAATTACGCAATTAACCCTTCACACTGCCACCACCACCTTTTTACAGAGAAGGAGGAAACTCACAAATCTTAGCAGTAACACTAAGATATTTGCATAAGCATCTGTAATACACACTGTGACCACAGACAGATATATACAGAGGATTATTACATACAGTAGCACTCTTCAAGAGACAGGGATTCTTTAGTTTGCATTAAAAGCTATAGAGACAGGTTTCAACACTTTTCAAAATAGGATTTATTACTAAAAAGGTCAAAATGGTGCAATTAAAATATTTACAGAAAAAGATGTTACAAAGATATAAAGAGAGCAATAAAACAACAGAGAAATAAAAGAAAAGAGTTAAGAAGGCAGAATACTTGCAAAGTCCTGGTTTAAGCAAAGTCCAATTGTCCGAACAGAAGGTTGTCTTGGCTCTCAGGTCCATTAGATGTTTCCTGGTTGATGTTAAATGAGAGCTCTCTTCTCCAGGCCTGTCAGTCTTTTTCTATCATATTAAAGGGGCGTCACCTGAGAACAAATGACCAATCATCCAGTTTGGGGATGGGTGTTAGGCGGTAACCAAAGTTATGACCAAGTCGCCTTACAATTTCATACTAAGGTTAATAACCCCCAATAGGTACAGGTAGCATTCTAGCAACTGGCAGATTCAAATTCAGAATTGTATTTCAAATTCAGGGATACCAAACACAGCATACCCTTGTCACCCAGGAGGAAAGAGACTGCTTCTTCTCTCTTCTAGGTGCCAATATAGTCTGTATGGCCTTGTTTGACTCCTATTAAAATGATCTATCCAAATATATACCTAATATTATTGTGTCCAGTTCCTGCTGAACTTTATGAATTGTATGAAAAATTGTCTACTCTAGCCCTAATGGCCTAACAGGTCATGACTGACTGAGTTATTGTTTTGCGATCAGGCAGAGGAATTTGGTTTTCAAAGCAGACCCCTGGCACTAGACTAATTAGCAGTTTACAGCCATGGAGCTTCATCTAGCTGTGTTTTATTTAGGATTAGAGGCCCTTTTGACCTCCGTTCAACTTACATCTATAAATTCCATTCAAGAGTGAGGAGGGAGGACAGGAGAGACAACATGGCTGAGACCTAACAAGATGGCTGTCACGTACAGCGTCCATGTCTTTATTGCGCACAACCGTCACACCCACCTAATTCCCCATCCCTATCCAAGTTCTCCAAAAATCAAAATACCCCTAGACTGTTATTGAAGAAATGTGTGAATTAGCCTATGTGCTTGGCTGCAGGGCAAAGCTTTTTGGGAAGACCTGGACAGTATTCCTGCAGCTTGTACAGGAGTAGCGCTACATACAGTAACATATACAAGAAAATGCATTGTACTGCAGCTTACCAGTCCTTAAATGTGGTGGCTGCTTAGTTTCAGGCCTTTTCCCTTTATGTTCACCTGGTGATTCTATCAGTAACATACTTCCTGTCCTAGAGTGACCACCACACTCGCTGTATTGGATCTGTAGCATTATCACCCTAGGACAGGAAGAATGTTAGGACTACAGAACATCTCTTTTCTTCTACAGAACATAGGGGAGGTTTTTTATAGTCCAGAACAGAGAAATAACCAGAGCTGAAACTATTAGGAAAGGGGAGAAAGGACACCACTCTGGCTGGCCGTGTAATCCTGTATATGGGGGATGGCCTCAGCCGTCATGCCAGCCAGTGACGGCTGAGGCCATCCCCATATACAGGATTACACGGGCAGTCAAAGTGGTGTCCTTTCTCCCCTTTCCTAATTGCAAGTGACTGGACTTTGATTCGGACACCGGTCCCCTATATATGCCGGTGAGGTGACTTTTTATTGATAACTCAGCTTCTGAGCAGCGCCAAGACATTTTACACATCAGGGATCATACTATTGTTCAGGATTTCAGTGCAGCAAAAGCAGAGGAATTTAGGAGCTCTCTGGATTTCTGATAGATCGACAGGTATTTTTCTTAAGGTACTTTTTTTAAACTAGGAAAATGAGCATGTATTGTAGAGATGTACTGCATGTTTTGTTTTTGTGTGTTTTTTTTTTTTTTTTCATTTTGCCCATCCATGTAAGGTTTGTTATCCATTTGTCTCTGAGTATTTGTAAAAAGGTATTTTACATTTGTAGCCATGAGATGGCCCCTTTTGGGGTGAAGGTCTGCATTATAGAGCCAGGATTCTTTAATACACAAGTGACAGATGCAAACCTACAGAAAGAGTGTGCAAGAAAAATGTGGACACGACTTCCAGAAGAAATCCGAAGGAGCTATGGACAGCAATATTGTGAAAAATGTGAGTGTATTAACTAAATGACTGTAGCTGTCTGATTTTAGACTCTTCCATACAGTACGATGGTGAACTCTTTATCTTTTTACAGCATACTTTTTAAGTAAAGCTTTCTTTTTTTTTTTCTTTCTTCTATTTTATTTTTTTATATATATATAAAAGAAGCAGTATGACAATTTCATGAAACAAATACACCATAGCTTCAAGGGATACAGTGATTTAGGCAAAGGAATGCAAGAATTTAAAGGTGTACTTAAGATATTGAACCTATAATCACACACAGAGTAAACTGGCTGTCTGATAAAGCTTCCTATGTATTCAACCTAAACATACAATTTCTCCATTTTTAATTTCAGTACAGTGAAGGGGATAGAGAAGGGGGAATAAAAAAAAGGAGGGGGAGTCTATTAGGGAAGGGGGAAGGACAAAAGAAAAAAAAAGTTGAGACTGTGGGGGAAAATGAGGGAACGTGCCAGTGGGAAGGGGGGGACCTTCCCATCCTCCAGTCCGGTTTCTCTGTGGCTGTAGTCACCATGAAAGGGTAGAAGGGGAAAGCAATTATTGTTGGGAGGCTAGTGGCGTTTGTTCCTTATAAAAGAAGTAGAAGTTTTTCTAGTATTTTTCCTGTTGCTCTATCAACGTCAAAGTTAGGTTCTTTATTTGCTGAATCTCTGTATTTCAAGCTAGCCAATGTGTCTTATTAGGTGGCACTGACAGTGGTGGAGCTAGACATTCTTTCACCTGGGGCAAAGACTCAGTTCGGAGCCCCCCATCCAAGAAAGAAGTTCTCCATCCACACACTCCTAGCCCCCTACACCGAGAGAGAAAACTACGAAAGGCATAAAACAAGAGCGCATTATCCCTAATACCAATTTATTAAAACGTAGGTAAAATTATATTCACAAACAAGTGTAGACAAATCGCATATAAATAGATAGTGACAAAGTGCATGAAAGAAGTACAATGAATCAAAGGACCTGCCGTCAAAGAAGTGTCATCCAAGACCCAAATGCGGCTGACACGTTTCAAGGGTAACCCTCTTCCTCAGAGCCAGGGAAGAAAGAAGAGACACAGAACATTTACATCTGCAGCAGCCCTTGTGATATATCACCTCCTCCATGCTTATTTTAGCACCACAGTGCTGCAACTGCCCCTACATTACAGGTGGTTTCAGGGCAGTTATTATTATTATTATTATACAGAATTTATATAGCGCCAACAGTTTGCACAGCGCTTTACAATATAACGGGAGACAATACAGCAACAATACATTTCAATACAAGAAGGTTAGGAGGGCCCTGCTCCTTGGAGCTTACAGTTGTGGCACAGCTCCATTCACTTCAAAGGGTCACATTCAGTGGCAGTCTGCTTTTTGCCTATTTGGCATTACACATACAAGCAGATTAAATGTGGTGTTTACTCACCCCGTGATCCAAACCTGTGGCTGCAGCAGTAAGTGGTACATTTAGCAGTGGTTTTTCTACTGTTGCTAAATGTTAATTTACTTGTCAAAAACTGTGTCAGTGTGTTTACGGTTTACTTTTTTACTTTTTATGTACTCCTTACTCATTTACAAGGGAGGGACCTGGTATCTTCTTGCCCCCTTAATTTTCTTTGTGCTGGCTCTCCTCCGCCCCCTGCAGGATGGAGAAGAAAGCTAATCTTCTCCCCATAAGAGGATCCCAATGGGATAATGCTGGATCCACTGGATAAGTGAGTATCTGAAACATGCAGTTAATGCTCCTATAGGGGAGATTCATTCTTCTATTTGTAATGATGACCACTGACACAAAGAAAGAAAATTGGGGAAATCAACAAGTTGTCCTAGAACATTCCAATGGGGATGCCTTTTTCAAGTGCATCTGTCTAAGGAGGAAATTTTCTCATTTTGGGAGATTTTCTGCCACTTCCTGTTGGATCTCTTGGACAGTAAAAGAAGGGAATTTTTTTTTTTAGAAATGTTCAATACTTTTTGTTTATACAGCAAAAATAACAAAAAAAAACAGTAATGATCAAATACCACCAAAATAAAGCTTTATTTGTGTGAAAAAAAATGAAGTTAATTTAATTTGGATACAGTGTTACAGGACCGCTCAACTGCTAGTTAAATTGGCACAGTGCTGTTTAGCAAAAAATGCAATGGTCATGAAAGGGGTAAAACCTTCTAGAGATCAGTGGTTAAATGGATTGCCATAGCACAACAAAATACCTTTTTATCCCAACCAACCACAAGGCACAGATTTATACCTGCGTGTTGTGGTGAGCTAAAACACAGGTCCACTGTGGTGTGTTGAGGACATACATTTTGCATGGCACCACAACAGAGTACATGCATTGCCATGCAGCACAATGATCTAGTTCCAAACTATAGGCTTACATTTATAATTTAAGGATGTTTCGGTCAGCTTCACCCTTGCAAACCTACTGATTGATGGGAAGGTTGTTTTCATTTTAACATTTTTTTTTCCTTTATGTTTAGATTGCTCAATTGCTGAGCAAACTTTGGCAACCTGCAACACGAAGTTGACTCTGGTGTCTGATTGCATGGAGCATGCCCTGACAGCTGAATACCCCAAGACACGCTATTCTGCAGGCTGGGATGCCAAGCTGCTCTACATTCCACTCTCTTACCTCCCTACTGTAATCACCGATTTTCTGGTCAGCTTAATCTACCCTAAACCAGTCCAGAAAGCTTAACCACTTCTACTGCCTAATTTAAACTATTTACTTTATGAAAACAACAATACACTTTTTAGGACCCTTTGTTCCCCCACATTATGTGGATACCCTAGGTGAAATTATTTGCACAGTATCATACAATAATTTATACAGAAATACATTTCCAAATATACCATGTGTGGTGTGTTGGGCATTCCATACCTGGCACTTTGGGCCATTCATGTGACCCTGACCCCACTGTCTTATATAGTAGCTAAAAACGACATACACATATATTGGAAGCATAAAGCTGCATATATCGATATATTTTTACGTGCTATTATATTAGAACAACTCAAATATCTACAGGTTATACTGCCCTAATGTATTCTTATAGCCTTGGCATATCATGCATATGTCTTTCACTGTTCAATTAGTAAATAAAAACATTTTGAAAATGACTTTCTCTAGATGGCTTTCTTTTCCATGAGCGCTTGAATGTGGAAAAAGCTATATTAAAATATTTTGCATAGTTCAAAATACATTTGATACATTTTAAAAACAAACCAAAAAACTTAATTTACTCAGCTTGGAAAACAGACTCTGGCTTTATATACTGTTTATAGAAAAAAATGGGCCCCAGGCTGTTTTCAAGTCCTGGGCCTCTGCAGGTTTCAAGGGATCATTTGTAAGGGTCAATGTACAAAGATATTTGTGGTTTTTTGGAGGCCGGTATTTGAATATTGAATTGTATCCTGTGTAGCGGTTTACTATGTAAATTACTCATAGAGCTAATATTGCAACAAAGCTTCCAAGTACTTGGGATATAATAACTGTATGTGTTGTGTAGGATTGTTTGTCAATTTTCAAAGAAAACTGTAACTGAAAAAGCTGCAATTGCTGATCACCTTTAAAGAAAGTCAGACTTGCAAAGTTGAAATTAATTTGCTACGAAAAGCACTGAGATGCGTACTTACCAACATTCCCTGATTCGCTGGGACAGTCCAGCTTTTCACTGCGCTGTCCCAAAATCACAGCATGAGGCATTCCTCCATACATTGAACATTGACAGAAGACCTTCATCAGGTCTTGACTGCTGTGACAGCTTACCCAATTGCCACTGTCCCTTCTAAACACAAATCTGGCAGAGGAAGTCTTTCATTACTCATTTTTTGTGCTTCCGACTAATGAGATCATCATGCCAAGAGACAACATTGGTAGTGTTGACTTCTGCGTTTACAAGTGACATCAGAGAGCAAGGTTCCATGCTAAAGAATACCTTAAGCTCCGTCATTGCTTGTATCTAGAAAACCCGACGTGAAACCCGTCCCATCACTAAGCACCAGTGCCCCCCCCCCCCCGATTCTCACTGAGGACAAATGCCCCCTGCTACCACCACTAAACACCAGTGCCCACCCCTGAACCCCCTTGGGGACCAATGCTCCTGCTAACACTACTGAGCATCAGTGACCGCCCCCCCCCCCACTGATCCTGACTCCCCCCAATGAGGACCAATGCCTCCTGCTGCCACCACTGAGCACCAATGACCCTCTGACCCCCCACTGAGGACCAATGCCCCCTGTTACCACCAGACCCAAGTACAGAAAATCATATTGTACATTTGATGGGATTTTTAAGGCAACCTTAAATTGCACAAAAGAAACCAATTATAAAAAAAAAAGAATCAACATTTTATTTGTACAAGTCATTAAGAATTTTTTATTTTGCTTATCAGCACATACAAAATGGTCATTACATATTGCCAAATATATTGCACAGCAATTCTGACTACTCGTTCACTTTAATAAGTTGTGGTATGTTACACTATATATCCGGTGGTATCTCTCATAGCTGATTTCCATCTTGCAATCTCAAAGTTTGACTGCAGATATATTCATCCTGGGATCCAACACGTTTCGAATGCATTAACATAGATTCTTCTTCATAGAATGCATGAAGGTAAAAAACCTTGAGCCTTTTAGAACCACTTTAAAGATGCAGCGGCCACCCACTTCTTAACAACCAGTTTTTCTCAATAGATCTGAATGAATCTGAAAGTTTCGTTATAACTTTTTTGGATTTGTTCAGATTCGTTACTATGTCCATTGAGAATTTGGATACATCAGTTCCTCTGCAGCTTTAACCACTTGCTTACCGGGCCGATTCTGGCATTCCTGTCATACATGTAAAAAAAATCTTAATTTTTGTTAAAAAAACTTAAATAATAATATGAAAAAATAAAAATGTAAAAAAAATTTAAAAAGATTATAATTTTTGATTATAAACTAATTTGGGTTATTTTTTTTTTTTTGTACTAAAAAGATAGCTGAATACATTTTGGCCAAGATTTATGAAGAAAGATTATTTATTTGCAAACTTTTATAAGAAAAATACTTTTTTTTTCAAAATGTTTAGACTTTTTCATTTATATAGCAAAAAAATAAAAATCCCAGTGGTGAATAAATACCACCAAAATAAAGTCTCAAAAAAATGCTAAAAAATTCATATGGGTACAGTGTTGCATGACCATGCAGGTGTCATTCAAAGTGTGATAGCACTGAAAGCTGAAAATTGCCCTGGACAAGAAGGGGGTGAAAGTGTCCAGACTTGAAGTGGTTAAGCAGAGGTCCTAGAGCATAAAACAGTGGGTGATGAAATGTTTTATGTCTCGCAGTATTTGTGCAGCAGTTTTTCACATTTTTAAAAAAGAAATACATATTTTTTGGTAAAATATAAAAGATGATGTTACGCTGAGCAAATAGATACCAAACATGTCACACTGTAAATTATCCATAGGCAGCATTTTAAAAGGCTTTACAGGTTACTAGTTTAGAGTTACACAGGGGCTCTGGTGCTAGAATTATTGCTCTCACTCGGACGTTCACGACGATATCTCGCATGTGTGGCTTGACTCCCACTCTGTTTTTTCTCTTTTAGCCAGCCCTTCTTTTGTTTACATTCTGTTGACAATGGGGATTCCCACTGACAGCAGATGAGTCATGCCTGTTATAGCAATACTAAAGGCTCAGTTTTTCTTTTTTTTAATAATAAACATGTTATACTTACCTGTTCTGTGTAATGGTTTTGCACAAAGTTTTAAATTCAGAAACTGTAATAGGTTTCCATGCAAATTGTCTTGCAAGAGCTGAATTTGGGTGGGTGGCGATGTATTGTTGTGTGTATAACTTGCTTTGGCCCACAATCAATTGATATAAAACTTCCGTGAAAAACAGCGGAGGGACTAAACACTAGTGCTGGCAGTCAAAAGGGACAATCTTGCTAACACTGCGTTTTTGGGGAAACTATACAAATGAGGCGCAAGTATAGTTCTGTTTCTGATCAATATATTGATCCTGTCAAGGTCCTACCTTTTCCCAGAGGTTATGTTACTCCATGTGCTGGCATCCATCTTGGATTTCTGCTGAGCATGGTGGGAATCCTTTATGCCTTCAGGTCTCTGAGGTCCATCCCCCAGAGGGGTGTGGCTGATGACATATAAGCCTGTGGTCTGCACATGCTCTTTGCACTTGTGTCTTGTGTCGCTATAACTCTGTTCTGACTCTCGTGACTCTCCTGGAATCTGAATCGGCTTGTGACTCGACTATTCTTTGTGTTCTCCTTTGATCTGACCCTCTGTTGCTGAACCCGGCTTGTGACCTGTGATTCTTGTCTGCTGTCCTGTACCGTTTTGTCCCGTTGTTGTCGACCCGGCCTGCCTGACTACTCTATTGTCTTTTCCACCAGCTACATGCCATTGGCGGCGGCCATTACCGCAACTGAGGTGTCTCGGGGGCCGAGACCTGGTTCCTGGCTGCGTCAAGTCCATCCCCACCATCAGGGGCCCTGGTGAAGGGCAGCCTGGGACTTAGACTCCGCGCCCTGAGGGACTGTGGGTGGTGGTTGTCGTCAGCCAGTGCGTTAGATTGTTATTAGGCCTGCCTGTCCATTCCTCAGCTCCTGCCCTGACAGATCCATACAAACACTATACTAGCAATGGCAGTAATCAGCAACCTATAGCATGAGTGTGATAGTGTGCAGGCAATCTAATTCTAGCTGACCCTGGCTGTGAGGTGAGCTTACAAACCCTGACACTATCTGATGTCACTAGTGGCAGTAATACAGTGATCAGTGAAAAAAACTGTACTAATGGCACTGTCTGGGTGACAGGGTGTTAAAAGGTTAATAAGGACAATCAAAGGGTTAAATGTGCTAATCTAATGTGTGTAAAATGTAGTGCTTATACTCAGAGTGCAGTGTTCTTTCTTCTCTCCCTGGACTGACGGGGTAGTGAGGGGCAGAGGCACATTCACACCCCAAACTAGAAAGCGACATAAGAGTACATCACTTTGCCCAGAGCCATAGCTCATCCGCACATTGCAGGCAGGTGGCCGGCAAGTAATTAAGAAAAAAAAAAAAGTAAAAGTAACATTTTCAATACAGTATTTTTTTACTTTATTTTTAACATTTTCTATTATTTTTTTTTAATACTTTTATCAGAGTAGTACAATGTTACCATAGTAGCATTGTACTACTCTGGAAGGGTGATTTTTTTGTTACATATTCAAAATAATAGTGATCTGTGACTGGCTAGAGCTCATCACATGGTCTAGGGTGCTGTGATTGACCCCATGTACCAAGTGAGAGCTGTAGTCCAATTACAACTTACCACGAAGAGAAGCCGGGCTGTTATGAATCAGACTGATGTAAAACAGCTTTGCTAACATTGTTATCATGTGATCGCATAGCTGAATTTAGAAGCTGATGGGCTACCATGCACAGCTGCAACAGATTCTGTGTACACTATTTTTAATAAATCTGCTCCTTAGTGCTTTATTTCAATACAATAGATTATAACAGTGGTATAACTATAAAATTGTGTATATAGATGCAGTTTCCAGGAAGCACTTACAGTATATGAGATAAACTACTAGTTCAAGTAAATGCTTTTGGCATTTACTATTTTATCTCACCTTCACTGATGCTGGCTCAGCTATAAAATGTCTGGCATACTTGTTAAATTTAGGATGGAAATATAGGCA